GTAACTATACAGTCACATGTTTCAAGAAGAACCATCCAAAATGATGAAATCCCAATAATTTTAACCAATGTAATCAGAAATTATCACATCCATATTTTAAAACAAAATTGGAAATGAGATATGTCATCGCATTCCAACAAAAATTCGAATGCAGACTCGATATTGAAAAGGTGAAGGTTTTTTTAACTTCACGTTTCAACTTCTACAAGACGGAATGCTAAGTGTCTTAAACAAAAAACCACACAATCAAACAGCAGCTCAAAGAAATTAGATACAAAGCCATGAATTCTGCATCGCTATTCAAAAATCTTTTATCTATGTTTTTCAATTAAATCAACAAAGAAACATTATAAAACTTATAACTTACTAAACTACCGACTTCAATTAGGTATTATTTATGCATAGCGATAGATGGTGCATTAATTCCTATTGTAATCACCTACCAAGAAGCGTGCTATGCAGTGGATTTCGCAAAATTACTTTCTGTACCAAAACCAGATTCACCATCTACGTATAGCGATGGTTGTCACCCAGCAAACTACAAATATAACAGATAAAACACTATGACAACTTCGGATCAACACCCGTAGTATTGTTTGTAGTCATGCTATAACAATGACCTCTAGAAATTCCCTCAAAACTTCCCATCACCAAGGGAACGCATCAACCAAAGGCCATCGCTGGATTTCAGCTGCAGATTCATCGAGGTCAACCAGTATCTAGTGCAGTAACTCAGTTTCAGCAAAGATAACAGGATTGAGTCAAGCGGATTGCTCGGCCAGCACCTCTGGTTAATAGCTTTGAGTTTACTGCAATTTTCAGATTTATTAAGCCGCAAACGGACACAGTTCAATACTGAGAACTTCCTGAAGTGGTTGAGCCAAAATATTAAGAAAATATGGGCATCATTTAATCAGAATTATTTTTTGTTTAATTTTTTTTATTCACGCCTGTCATAATGGTAATGACAACGAGTGAATGTGAGGTTGATTGGAAAAAATAATGTCATGAAAGGCATTACGGTGATCAATGCCCAGCGACACCTCACTCGGCGTGATATCTACATTAGGCGAGGAGGTCCCTCATCAAGCTCTTCTTCAGTCTCCTACAGACGTTACCTGGTATATTCGTAGTGGTCATGTCATTTATAAGTATATTAGGATGTCCTTATAAGTTGTCATGGAATCGTTTGTAATGAGTTCGTTAACAGTCGGCATATGGAGGTCAATATATAAGGTTATGTTGCATACGTACTAAGGTGCTTTTGTAATTGTTCTGAATGTTTTTGCTTGAAAGATTTGAAGTTTGTTTAAGTTAATCTTTTTAGCAGTTCCAAATATCTGTAATGCGTAAGTCCAAATAGTAATCAGATTATAAACCATGATGTTTACAAGGCGGTGAACCCAATTTATTTTTTAAAAAATAAGACCGAAGCTAAGTAGTTATACACTAACTTTTTTTCTAAACATGTTTCTACGATAACACTTGAGCTAGTCAAGTACCAGAGTTAATAAGAAAGAAGAATTCTATGGTTGGGTAGCAAAGTTCTGGAATCCTGATTCATGACAGTTTTACTGTTTTAGAATAATCCTCGCTATAAAGGTTTGAAATGTTGTTTAGAGAACTTTTTTACAATACTATCTCTTGCACATCTTTTCAATATTTTGTGGCTTATGTGGTAGAATATGTGATGTGGTAGAAGTTTATGAGATCCAATCACTAGCGGATCCAGGATTTAATTTTGGGGGAGGGCTTCAGCCCGAAAGCTTTTTTTTTCTTAAAAATAACGATAATAACTTTGGAAAAAAAGAAAGAAACTAACTATCTATATGAAATTTTGTTTAAGTGATTTCTTAAGTCCTTTTAAATGTAATTACATGAACAATAATACTTTAAGACATAATTTTTTAATATTTTTTTCCATAAAACATGGTTATATTTTACCATTTTGGGGGAGGGGCTTCAGTCCGAAAGCCCCCCCCCCCTCCGTAGATCCGCCCGTGGATCCAATTACTGCTTCTAGACACGACGTAAGTTTCATTGATCTCACGGAAATCCAGAATTCTTAACAACTAAAAAGAGAGAATTAAAACTTACATTTGAACCTTATTCCTTTAAATAATAGGCCTTCCTCACATAATTCCGTAATCCTCTCATTACGTAATGAAATATGTTGATGAAATTTCTTCCAACTATCTAGTCTAGAGAATTTGTGGTTGCAGATAGAATTTGTTTATTTCTCATTTTATTGTACGTTTATTGATCTTTGAGAAAAAAAATAAAATATTATTTCTTCGATTTCTTAAGAAATCAAATACCAGTGGAGGCATTAATTCAATGTCTTAAGAAAATCAAAGATTTCCTAGAAAAACTGGTTATAGTGAGGTAGATAATTTTCTTTTAAAGAACAATTATGTAAACTACGACCTCTGTGATGAAGCTTTGCTGGTCACGTTTTTTGTTTCCTCACTGCTTAAGTTAATAGCAGCTTTGAACTTGTGCAAGAGGTTAAACAAATGTTTGTGCTCAGACTCGAAACATACCACTCATGAGTTACATTTTAAACATCAAGGAAAAGATTTTGTTCCGTGTTTGTCTGTCTATGGTCGAATCTTTTTTTTTTTTTTTTCATTTATCCCTTTCCTCATCATTTTGGTTGCACGGGGTTTTCCCCAGGTCATGGAGAGGAGGGAGAGATTAATTGTAAAGTTTATTATTAGATTAATGGCTCTCGGTACCGAGACTTGTTAACTTCTGTTTATCATGTCACCAGGCAACCGTGACGCGTAAGTCCGCCGAAATCCTATGTTTTTCACATTTATCGTATAAGGTAATATTTATTTAATGATATTTTAATTTTGATTAAAGATAATTAAAGCCTTATGATAAAGTTTTTGTAGGATTAAATATTTGTAATGTCCATAATATCGTTCATCTAATTTTTATGAAATATCAGATAATGTTCCATATAAATTTCATTTATTACTTTCGTATACGCAAGCGTAAATGAAATTATTTAAAACAACTTTATTCATAAAAACGGTTCGTCGAATTTAGCTTAAAGCTGGCTGAGATTCGGTGAATAAATGATAATGTATCAAACTTCCTTTTACATATTCACTAACGTATTTTCCACTATACGTCTTTATCTCAAAAAATTCTCATTAAATTCAATCTAAATTTGGGGAAATCAAGAAAGTATCGAATAGGAATCATATAATTTCATCTACTTCTATAAAAAAAAACTTATATTACAAATATGGAAAAATGTTTTCCTTCATACACCAATATTTCAAAAATTTCTTGTTCGATTTGGCCAAAGATTAAGTAAATTTCAGAAATAGTATGCAAACTGTGTAGTATAAATTTCATCAAACTACATTTAACCGTTTAACTACATTAAAATAAATGCTAAATCTCGTTATTAAGATTATAATGACAATGAATAGTGGTGGGCGTAGAACATGAAGGAATTATTTATATTTTTATATTGTATTTTTTTTAATTTGAAAATTTTGTTTATTTAGAAATATTACACTCTGTCACATCAAGGACATTTATAATAGTGTTCAGAGAGCACACTCACACTCTATTTACAATAATAAAAATAAATAATACAGAAACTTAATAATAATAAATACAATAAAATAAAATAAAGAATAAAATAAAAGATTGTATTAAAAAAAAAAAATTAGTTTAAACTGCATTCTGATGTTGAATTCATGTGATTGGCGTAACACATACTGCCGTTAATTTAATGAAATTTTTATGAAAGGTATGTGAATGTTGATACTTAAGATAGTCCAATATCGATTTGCCACTTCGAAAATTACTTCTGTATATTTTATTCCTAAACATGAAACAACAGATGTTAAAATATAAGCGATTATATAACTAATAGAAATGGTATGGAAAATATAAAGCTTTGGAAGGATTTTTTCATTTATTTATTTTAATACATAAAATATTGTGTTAGGTCATCCTATTACATGTAGATGAAAATAGTGTGCATATACTTAAAATTTAGAAAATTACCTATTGTAGAACCTTTTAAACAATATCCATTACTACATATTTGAATCAAAGACGAACATCTGTAATTTTCAGAAAGCGGGAAAAAAGTAAGTTTTTGTTTTATATGTTCAACTCAAACTGTTTCTGATGATTTTGTTCAAGAATGTTCAAGTTGAATAAATAGAAAAAAAATCATTAGAATTGGTTTAAATTGAAGAAATGATACATAAGATTATATTTTTCTCAAATTTTTAAAAATGACAGATATCCATCTTTGATATTAAGCCAAGTGTTTGAAGAAACAGGTTCACAACTCGAACCAACATCCCCACATCTCAAATATAAGTATTATTCCACTTTGTATCAAAACATGTCTGCACTACATTTGACTCTTGTGTAACATTTAGAGTAGAAAATAAAATTGGGCATGAATTCGTAGTAGGACTTTACTTTAGTGTTGCCCAAATGCGAGACCGAGACGAGTCTTGGTCTTGCAAACTCAGTCTTGGTCATGGTCTTGGTCTTGCGCAAGACTCTCGTAACAGTCTTGAAGTTACTTATTAGCTTATTACTACAGAGATATTACTGTAATTTTTTAGATAGGAGAAAACTAACTAAGCCCCAAAGAAAAATTAGAGCAGTTGAATGCAAAACTATATTGGTTATACCAATTATTAACATATAGTAACTAAGATTGTCAAGTATTAGTAACTATTTTGCCTTAATTTTTATTTAAAAAATCGATTTTTTTTACCAGTCCTAGTCTTGGTCTTGCAACAGTTAGGCGGCCTTGGTCTTGGTCTTGCAAAGTGCAAGATCAAGACCGATTTTGGGCAACACTACTTTATTTATTTCGAGTTGTTTATTATTTATTATTTTTTTATTAACTTATGAATATATTTTCAATATATTAATCAGATTTATAGCAACTTAAATACTCTTAAGCATAATTTTTATATTCTAATAAATTTTATTTTATCTTGCAGCGAAACCAGACAAGCCGGAAGGAACCGACCATCAGCAAACAGAGCAGCTTAGTAACAATGTGAGTAAAGAGTTAGATTAGAAGCAATAATACATAATCTTTTTTGTGGCAAACCCATCGTATATGTTTTTTCGTAACTCTGAGCAATGACTTGAAAGTTTTATCCCAGATGGGACATTAAAAATAATGTAGAATGTGAGTCCGTTACAAATCGTATATAAATTACCCACATGAACATAAACAAATAGAACACTCTTACTCCAGTATGGATACCAAACGACAGATCATACATCCCTTGAAATCTATATTTGATTTCGTTCCGAGATATGATGATCGTTCAAATGGACCCTTATCATCAAAACTGTTTCTCATTCAAGACGTTGTTCAACGTATTTAATTTGAGACGAATATTTCTGAAGGTTTTGAAAATATTGCGTGATTGGCAAATATTATTAGGAAAAAGCGAAATGAGAAACTTAAATAACATTAAGGAGATTAGTTTTGTTTGTAAAAATAATTTATCAATTTTATAATGGATTCGTAGGTTATTTATCATTAGAGACGTGATGGCCGAGCGGGCTAACGTGTGTTAACAACACCACGCCTTGCCTGGCAACCTAGATAGAAGATTAATTTGATAAAATAATTTGCGTCCCGGTGCTAAGGAGGTTTTTAACTCTGGCAATAATCCTCCACCCTTACCCCGTGGGCCGGGGAAACCCCATATAGCCAAAAAGGTGAAGAAGAGGAGAATAAAACAAAAAAGATTATTTATCATTGCAGTTCCATATCTTTATTTCAACGTTATATTTCCGATTTAGATCTCAGAAATGTCATGCATATAAATACATTGGATCCTATTTTTTTTTCTAAGTGTATAATTTCAATATTTATTTTTTTCTGGAGGAGCTAACCTGGAGGAGCTATGGTATATAACACAAGGTGTCTCTCACTACTAGCGGATCCAGGATTTAATTTTGGGGAGGGGGGCTTCAGCCCGAAGGATTTTTTTTCATATATATAACGATCATTAATTTGAAAAATAAAAAGAAAGAAACTAACTACCCATATGACAAGGTTTCTTAGTTATTCTTGAAGTCCTATTAAATGTAATCACACGAACAATAATAATTTAAGAGATAGTTTTTAATATTTTTTTCTGTAAAACATGGTTATATTTTACTATTTTGGAGGAGCTTCAGCCCGAAAGCCCCTCCCCGTAAATCCGCCTGTGTTTCTCACCTACTTGTGAATCCCTGGGTGATGACGTTATCGTCCTCATGCGGGAAACGAAGAAAGTGCTCCGTAGTGATTTAAGCAATCGAGTAGGACTTGCACTTAATTATTATTTTTTTTTTTTAACTCGCTTAACTCGCTCCAGCAACACGGTCCCATTTCTACCATCGTATTTCTTAGACAATTATATTTTGGCTAAAATCCACGAACCAAAAATTACGGAGGTTAATAAAAATTCTCAGGCTGTGCCGAAAGGCACTTCTCCAACATTTCATACTCTTCAGAAATATCGAGATTTCGACTAAATATATACAAACTTTTGTGGTATTATTCTGCCTAAATAACAACTCAACATATAGAGTTTTCTCCAAAACGAACAATCGGAGTATATATATATATATATTTGTGCGTGCGTGCGTTCGTGTGTAGGTACGTGCGAGCCTACATTTTTTTTTCATTTTTGTCCTTCAAACGCACATCCACATAATTGCTTTGAATTTCTTTGCAAATTACGTTGATGTGACAGAAGTTTCTTTCGCCAGTAGTGACTTTTTCTCTCATTCCCACCAATTATTTTTCGTTGAGTTTAGCTTTTTCGAGTTTTTAGTATCCAATAACTACTTTTAATTGAGTTAGAGGATAGGGGTGTCCATTTCTCCCCTTCCCCCAAGTTCGATGGCGCATGAATCATTTCCTCTCTCCGAAAATTGTATTTCATTCCTCTTCTTAAAAACATTGCATATTAATATGTTAAAAAACATATTACACTTGCTATGGCCTGTCCAACGATTTCCTCCTAGTTCACTCCGAACATTCATAGTTCCGTCAAAATATGTCCTCCCTTTCAAAACATTAATCCCCAGTCAAAATGTACCCTTCTCAAAAAATTCCTAGTTACAGGTATAGACGATATCAGCAAAACTGCTCAAACGGTTCTAATGATGTTTCCCTAAAGACCTCGCCTGAGATGATAAAATTTCTTACAAATTAAAAAATGTAACTTAAATTGGACAATTTGTTACAGATATATGGAACTTTCTGATCCATGTATATATGTCCCTATCGAAATCCTATCTCTTTTGTTTTGTTTATTAATAGCTAGAAACCTAGAACTCTATCTGAAGATTCTAGTTGCTTTTCCTAACAAATATATATATATATATATATATATATATATATATATATATATATATATATATATATATATATACATATATATATATATTTTTTTTTTTTTTTTTATTGAGATTTACAACTGTATTACATGGAAAATACAATAAGTAAATGTGACATTGGTAACATGACATGTACAACATGAAGAGAAACTACCCATTGGTAGAACTCAAATTAAAGTTCTATATTAGAAGGTCCCGAGGCCATCTTCTTTTCAGACGCCTCAGAGGATTATCAGGGATCGAGGAGGAAGCAAGGTTTGAAACAAGAGATTCGGATGGTTCTGCAGTTTCCTAATAAATATAAAAGGAAAATGCATGCTCAGTGACGGAGCTCTGCAACTCATGCATTTTTAATTTCCCACAAGGTCTACTGTCTACAGAATTGCTAGCATCACATAGTCTTTAGATAATTCCTATAGTCAAGGTTCAGATTCAGAATTGATTGCGAATATCAGCAACACTTTTCCCGAAACAACTGTTGTCATTCTTCTACACACGGTATACGCTTGGGACCCAATGACAGGAAATCGCTTTTCAATAGTCTTGCGTGCTGATAACACACAATCTAGTTTGAGTCAGACCCTTTTTTTCAGTTAACTAAAAGAGGAGACTAATAATAGACGAATGTTTTCAAAATCAAAACTATACCAGAGTGTAAAGGCGTAAATCTATTATAGATAATATTTTGTAGTAAATAAATAATAAATTTCAAAACATGACAAAGGAGCACATCATACTTTAGCCATGAATAGCTATGAAAATATAGGGTTTTAAGTTTTTAAGATGTGAATAAATTTCCCAAATCGTCAACATAACATGTAAATCAATAAATAAACCAAAGTTTATTTATGAAAGTTTTCATTGCGGAAAATTGAGAATATTATACAGCTTCTCAGCAAAAAGAACAGAAGAATTCTTTTAAATCATTTCGATTGATAAATGTCGGCAAAAGCCATTGTTTATTTATTGTACCATGATTCAATGCAGTTCACACCTTATAGTATGTATTTCGACAACTATCTAAGATTGGTGGATAATTCTTAATTCAATATTTGTAGGATATTTTTATTTTTTAAAACCAATTTTATGCTTCCCACTATTTGAAGTATACATTTTCCGATGGATAGTAATCGAAAATTCGCTTAATAATGATTTGGTTTCTACAGAATTTGAAGCATTGTATAGTTAAGCCGATTTGGTTAGTAAAATAATATTAATTAACTTTGATCTTTACTTCTGTTTGTAAGATATAACCTACTATATTGCCGCATTGAATCCAGCTATTTTCTTCTTTCTTGTTTCTTCAATGTAACGTTATTAGTTGTTCAAATGTATTTAGTCCAATTTGACTAAAATATTTCCAACTTTCATATAAAGTTATCACTCCTTCCCATCCTCCCTTTTCATACGTAGGCTACTTTTAACCACTATTTCTTCTTTTTTTTTTTGTTTTGTTAACCTTATGAAATTACTATATTTAATATTAAAAATATTTTTACCATTTAATATTTTTTTCTTTAATTGACTGGTCGAAACCGATTGTGTAGAAAGCAAAAATAATGAATTAATTATTTTTTCTTTTGTTAATTAATATTTTATTTTTTTACTGTTGACTTTTGTTCAAAGCTACATAAAGCTCTTCTAATCCGAGAAACAGCTGCGCACGAAATTCCATCTTTAATAAATAATAAATAAATTTTAATTCAATTCTGATGTAGAACTTATGACATTTTGTTTTCATTTTATTTCATAAATATCAGTTACTGTAAAGACTTCGTAAGTAAAATTAGTGGGTTTATATTATTTTATTTTCTTGTTAGCCCTTTATGATCGTTTCATTGATTAAACAGTGCTAATAAGTGCTATAAAAACCTTTAGTGCAGCAATTGGATTACCTTTCAAACATTTTATATTTGCCTCGCATAAATATTAGCTCAGTTTTCCTGATCCAACTGTTTCATAATTAAAACTTCCGAAGTTGTTTTAACCATAAAAAATATATATCAGGTGTGACCACATACTCGTTAATAATAGTCCACTTTTTATTACACTAACAAAAAATAAAATCAATAAAATCGGTCTAATGGTTAAGCCATGTGATTCTCGACAATTAAAGATCTCCGAAGTACTTTACGGACCGAACAACCGAATATAGCTGCACTAAAGATCGATGATATCATCCACAACACTCCAGACACAGGCTAATCGGTTCTCTGTCAGAAGCAATGTAGTTGTGAAGTTGACTCCCTGATCAATTTTATAATGATATATTTTTTTATTGATATTTACAACTGTATTAAATGATAAATACAACAAAGAACATGGCATGTACAACATGAAGATAAACTACCCATTGGTAGCACTCCAATTATATTTCTAAATTAGAAGATTCCTAGGCCATCTTCATTTCAGACGCCTCGAAGGGTTAGCAGAAATAGAAGAGGAAGCAAAAGGAAGAAGAGGAAATAAGAGAGTTCGGATGGTTCAGAAGTTTATTATGGCAGGATAGGAATCTGGATTGAGTCATTTCGGAAACATGGTACATTAAGATCGTTTTGCATAATTGCATAAGTAAAAAGCATTGAGGATTTTACGAAGCATTTTGGATTGTAAGGATTGAATACTAGAGGAATTTTATGGTTCAGTAAA